CTCTCTCTCTCTCTCTCTCTCTCTCTCTCTCTCTCTCTCTCTCTCTCTCTCTCTCTCTTGAGCTCTTAGTCTCATTGCGTTGGCTACCTTAGGGCTGCGTTCCCCACGCCCACGCGGTAGACAATTTCAGACCATTCTCATAATGTGGAACTACTCCACTCTGCAAAGAGGAGGCTGAGGTCGGGGAAGTCGAAAGTCTACTCATGGCCTTCCAAGACTCTACCTTGACCATCTCAGTTGCACATGGACACGATGAGCACAGAGAAAGCATGCATTTATCCAGATCTACTACACACACACACAGACACACATAGAGGAACAGAGAGACCAAGAGAGCGCGGGGGGGTGGGGTGCACATACGGCCACACGAAAGTATACATAAATGAGACATTCAGACACTCCAGCTTTTTCCTGGAGAAAATATACAATGGGGCACAGGCAGAAAGGATGGTTGCACTAATATGTAGAGAGAGAAGGTGATGGAAGGAAGAGGCATGGAATCCAAGGACTGCTGGTTTGAGAATCACCTTGAGGGGCCTTTAGCTGGCTCCAACCGGCAATACATAAGGAGCCTTTCTGCCACTTTTCTTCGTTTCCTTAGGAGTTCATCCCTGTGTCGTATTCCTCCCCAGGCTGACGGAGAACCTGACATACGCCTTGAGCCCGAACTGAGGGAAGCCTCACGGTCTTGAATTATCTGGATACGCCACAGTGTTTCAGTGGAGAGAAGGCGTTCTTTTCGGCCCTTCGGTCCTGAATCTCCTCCCATCTTGATCAAGGAGTGGGAGTACGACATCCCTCTACGGACACCCATTGGGGCTAGTATCCGTGTCTTTGCCTGCGGCTGCTGAGCCTTTTGACCTGCTTCTTGCTGGGGCTCTGTTAAGCTTGTCTCAACGCCCTCCATCATGCTTAACGAGGTAATCTTCCTCCCTTCACTCTCCTTCCATTGGCCTATCTCTCATCCAAGGTTTCGACAATCTCACACTGCTCCTCCTAGCCCTGATTGCTTCAGATGTCAAGCTTGTGTCCTGTCAAGGGCCTCTTGAATCGAGCACCCCTGTAATGGCCATCCTCCCTCCTGATGTACTCCTGTCTCGTTTCACGCCAAGAAAAACCCCTTTTCCGTTAGAAGTTAGGACCCCCTCTCTCAACACGTTTAAGAAATACACTATTTGCTTTCCGTGGTTTGCTGCTCCTGGGGTTAGATTGACAGTAGACTCCTCTTTTCGGATTTCATATCCAATCGCCCTTTTTCTGGGGTTCGGCATTCCGTTTTCTTTCACTGAGTGGTCAAGCCCAGGCTTCTCTCTCTCTCTCTCTCTCTCTCTCTCTCTCTCTCTCTCTCTCTCTCTCTCTCTCTCTCTCTCTCTNCTGTGTGTGTGTGTGTGTGTGTGTGTGTGTGTGTGTGTTGGTGTGTGTGTGTGTGTGTTGGTGTGTGTGTGTGTGTGTCTCGCGCTCTCTCTCTAGCTCGAGGACCTTCCGACCACACACTGCGGGCATGAAGCACGCCCTCCAAAATGGGACAAAAAGGGGGGAAAAGCACAGTACCCAAAGAATGGCCTTAGACAATTTCAAAAGTAGAGCTCCAAAAAAGACAAAAAACAAAAAATGGGGATGCTGTACGCTGCAACGAGAAGTGTGGGTGTGGCAAGCCCGTGCCTCAAAGGACCGTTGAGGATATTACGGTCTGAATTCCTAATAAATTAATAATCCGTTAAACAAAAAAAACAAAACTAGAGATATCACAATCCGTTGATCGGATTGGTAAAGTCGGTCAGGTGTGGTAAGGACTTTCTGAAAATGACATCAAATTGACATTTATCTGAAATTATTTCCGCGCATAACTATTAATTACCCCCCCCCCCAATTGTATTTCCAATCCTTTGACGGCTGTATACCTGCCTTAAGGTAGCGTCGTAGACACATGCAAAACTTAACTGCTGGTAAACATAAACAATGAGCTCCCTTCTGTGCTGCCTTCAAATCTCCCCGTACCGATAACAACGCCTACATTAATCAATTTTTTGTTTCAAGTTTCAACAACATTTTAGATTCCTTCCACCATGAAACAATTTAAGACTTCAAAACACTGACTGTCGCAACTCAAAGAAAACAGTATGTTGGTAACCCATTACTCCACACCAAGGGTCACGATGCCATAGCGGAGTTATGGCGCCACCATCCTGCTTACACATATAGATGAGAACGAGCAAGAAGGGGCTGACGATCCCCAACCGTTTTCGGCCAGTCCCAGATCCCGGCCTGATCAGGGGGAAGCTCCCTGTCGAGACGGCGTTGGACGGCAGCTATATGGCAGTAATCAATCCGACACGTTCTCTCTCTCTCTCTCTCTCTCTCTCTCTCTCTCTCTCTCTCTCTCTCTCTCTCTCTCTCTCTCTCTCAATTGCCGAACCGAAACTCCCAAACGAGGTGAAGAATAGACTGCCAAACGTGTCAGTAATGCAGCATAGATAAGGTGTGTCGAGTCTGCACTGGTACTAGTACGCGCATAGTACGCCGCATACTCACAAACCAGTTCCAGCTGCATTCATAGCCCTCCACCAACCAAGTGCAAATATGATGCTTGACTACTTAGAAAGAAGAACAAGAAGGAGAAGAAGAAGAAGGAGAAGAAGAAGAAGAAGAAGATGCTTGACTGCTCAGGTGGCGATGGCAAGATTAACCGTCGGTGCAAGTGCGGCCAAAGCAACCGACAGCTTAGCACGACACAGCAGAGCTTAGCTTACCAAACCTTACCTTACCTTACCTTAGCTTGGTTTTATTAAGCTTAGCTTAGAACGACACAGCATAGCTTAGCTTAGCATGAGAAAGCAGAGCACAACATAGCTTAGTTTAGTTTAGCTTAGCTCTGTTATGTTAACCTTAGCTTAGCTTTGTTAACCTTAGCTTAGCTTTGTTAACCTTAGCTTCGCTTTGTTATGCTTAGCTTAGCTTATGTTAAGCTTAGCTTAGCTTAGCTTATGATCAGCTTAGCTTAGCTTATGTTCAGCTAAGCTTAGCACGCCAAAGCGGGGCTTTGCTTAACATAGATTAGCTTAGATTAGCTTAGCGAGGCGGCGATCCAAGTTTACCTTAGCTTAGCTTATCTTATTAGGTTCGTGAAGCTTCAATGAGCTTTGATTTGTTAAGCTTAGCTTAGGATCGCATAACACAGTACGTATCACACAGAATAGCTTAGCGGCATAGCATAGGTTTGCAGGCACAGCATATAGTCCTGCTGTTCGGTTTTTGTTGTGCTGATGGGATGTGGTGTTGGCACGCGTCCTCTTCTTACTGTTTGATCAGTCCAGGGATGGATGGATTGATTGACTGATCTGATCTGATATGCGCCATCCAGATCTTGTTACCAACTTATGATCCGATCCATCGAGACTGATTAGGACGACAATACATAACTCCCCTCTTCCCCTGGATACTAATCAAGGGGGAACAGCGAGATCTCAATGACTTGTTCTCGAAGATTCACCCCACAATACCGCCCACTACCCTTTATCCCACTATCCTACCAGCAATCAATCTGTCCACAACAATATCTATGACGTCTCACGGAAGGTCCCCCTCACCCCCAACAAGAGCAATCAATGGAGCATTACCACGTGGCTGACTCTGAGCGCATTTTTACATCACGCATCTTGACATGGCCACGTAAGCAATCAAGCATCATCAACCTCATCACCAATGTCTCTTTCCAATCCCTCTCACTCATGACAAATGACAACGATCGTTGTCAGTAGATATATATCCAACCCCCATGTCAGCAATCGAGCAGGGTCAGTAGATATACAATCGCCACGTCAGCAATCACGCGGGTGAACAAAAGTGTTTTTTTATCATTACTGGTTTTCTACGTAATCACCCGTTTTAGATTGTCACTACTACCGTTTTCCCCCGAACACAACGCACCCTCATTTTGACTGTATCGGACTGGAAAGTCAAGCTTGTATACGTTCCTTATCAGGGTGCGTTACGTTCGGGGGAAGACGGTACCAATTAGCCGAGAACAACCGCTAGGAAGGGGACAAGCGTGGGGCGTCGAGCAGGCTGCCACGTGTTGTAAATCCTCTTTCATCCCGATCGCGACCCCGGCCGCTCAACCTCGCCCCCTGCCCTCTCCCTTCTTCACTGCACCCCCCCCGCCCTGCGCCTGTACAGATCACCTATACACATTTTGATCACCCCCCTCCAGACACAGCAGGAAGATTTCTTCCGCACGTCTAACATTCACAGCCCTAAGATTATGATCATGCAATCCTACGGTTGTCAGACCTAGATGACGTCATCTCGAACATAACACCCTATAATTATTGTCGTATCTAGACTGATAGCTGCACCAGATACAGCTTGAATGACCGGGCGTTCTGTACGGGCTCGAATGCTTGGATGCCCAAAAAAACAGGGCTATGCAGATCCAGACAAACGATGGGGGGAAAAACAGAATTACAAAAATCGCTTCGGCATTATGCAATCAAGCAATCCGACAAGCGGCAGCCGTGACGTCAACGGTCAAATCCTAATCGAAAACCGCAAAAGAAAAACAGAAAAAAAAGTGAACCACGCTGCTCTTCGTTGTTGTTCGGTCAAATCAAATCAATAAAAAAATCAATCAATCAATCAATCAATCAATCAGTCAATCAATCAATCAATTAATCAACAGCCAATCACAATCAGTTAACCAAATAGGTAACCAACATTACTAATCGAAAAAATTGGACCAATTCCTTTTCGAAAGGTCATTTGGAGGCCAAAAGTTAGTAGTAACTTGCCGATCCCCCAGTCTCTATTCATCGGACAACCATCAGAGGTAAAGCGAAATTTGATTAAAATAAAAAAAAGGAAATTAATACAAGCCAATCAATCAATCAATCAATCAGAGGTTCCCCAAAAGTTAATCAGAGAGCAATGCGAGATCGGTAAGAGTAATCTTGTTAAACTAAATTCATAAAAACCAAGAAACATGTCTAGCTTAAAAAAAAGCACTCATTCTGAGGGCCACTTCATCAATCAATCAGCCAATCGAAACTCTTAACAAACCGATCAGATAATGAATGATTTCAATCAATCAACGAACCGATCAACAGATGGATTGCGCGTCAATCCATCAACCATCATCGTCGGGATGGGTCAATCACTCAATGATCATCATCGTCAAGGTTGCACGACGCCCCCGTCCGCCTCCAAACAAGATTTCAATCAATCAATCAATCAATCAATCAACGAGCCGATCGGCAGACGGGTTACGAGTCAATCAATCGACCATCACCTCCTGGAGGGGTCAATCAATCAACCATCAACATCGTGAAGGCTGGGCGACGTCCCCTTCCGCCTCCAAACAAGAACCCGCACCTCCTTTGTGGCAGATGGACTGTGCGCGCAAACAAATCAGCTCAAACCATCCCCATCCATCATTAGGGCAAGCAAACCAGTGAACAAGGCAGGGCAAGCCGTGAGACGTTCATCCTCCGTGATTTCTCATCACTGGTTTCTTGAACTTTTTTAGATTGCCAACTCCAAGCTCATGTTCCTATGAGGTTGCCGTCTTTTTTCTTTTAGTCAACTCATCGCCTGAAAGGCCATTGACAATTTAACAACAGTTAAAGACTGTGCTTGTGCATTACATCAGCTCGCAGTGGCAGCGAGATTAGCATTCAGCTCTGCAACCAGGCTGCCGTCTTACATCCACCTCAACATCATTCTGAATTTGCGATCGCAGAATTGCAGGGCACTTTCAGGTCAGGCCTTCCCAGTTCCCAGTTCCAAGTTCCAAGTTCCAAGTTCCCGGTTCCCAGTTCCAAGTTCCAAGTTCCAAGTTCCAAGTTCCAGGTTCCAAGTTCCAAGTTCCAACCAAGTTCCGCTCGAGTTCCGAGTTCTGAGTTCCAAACATATTAAAGGCGACAGTTGATAAAAAGCATCAAATAGGAAAGATGTGACACTCAGATAGCCAAGGAGTGTGTACTGCTAGAGGCAATGACAAAAGTTATGTGGTCCATACCTGCAGAGAAAGACTTATAGACAGCGTCAAAGTCCCACTGCTTCATGGAAGACTTCTTCAGAAGAAGGCCAGTGGCACGATCGGTGAAGAGCCAAGCAATTGGCTGACCATTGTGAATGATCATTGTGTCAGGGATTTGCACCAACGGACAAGATTGCCCCTGATCATTTGCAGCCCACAGATACATGAAGAGGTTGAAACAATACATCCTGGTTTTGGAAACCCCAAGAGATTGATTTCCTTTGTTAGCTGCATGCAATCAAGCCCCAAGAGATTTTCCCTCTGTTAGTTCCAACTGTTGCATGAGGTATCAGGAAAATGGATTCCCATCATCACCAAAAGAACCAAGAACCGCAACCCTTGGCACCAGTGCACACAATGCCATCTTGGTCATCATAATAGAAGAAGAAATAATACCTCTGAGTTGTTGCAAAAACATGCAATGATTAGAAGAATAGCTTCGGATTTCTGCAATGATTGAAGAAGAAAGGAAGGTCATTTTGTCTTGATGATGAAAGGTGAAAGGTGAAAGGTGGATTGGCAACCAGGTGACCTGTAAGTTATACCCAGGCCTGCATTGTCACCTACGGAGCCTTCAAAGGATGGGGATCGGGGGATTTGAACCCGCTACCTGCCCAATTATTTGCTGTATTTGGGGTGTGTGTTATTTTGTTCTTCACAGGATTTGAACCTGGGACCAAACAAAGTAAGTACAGTTGTTATGTTTTTTCTATGTTTACTCTTTTGAGGCGTTTGAGTTTTGAGCCCAGGACCTACGTGTGCAGTGTTGCATACCGTAATGGTGCAGACCAGAACAAGAACCGACCTCTCTCACATAGTACAGGAT